TGGAAATGTTAGGGGGTCGTCTTATACGCCCAGTCGTCTTATACGCCGGCAAATACGGTACATGCCCTTGACCAGAATCGAACCTGGAACCCTTCAGTCCGCAGGCCGTCGTTCTATCCACTGAGCCAAATCGGTTAGGTCCCATTTGTGTTTTTATAACTATCTCTCAGGATGTGTGGGTAAATGTAAGATGACACCCACCCTTAATAGTGATTATCTCTGGAGAGGAAGAGTATTGAAGAAGGGTAAAGAAATGTGAATTTTACTTTTTTATATATATATATACATATTATTATTTCTTTAAAATAACACCACTGCATGATATGATAATGTATTCATTTAAATGTCAGGCAGTTGGTACAAACTGCTATTACTATGACTTTGGTTTCCATAAATATGTGACTCCATTATTTTATTTATGGATCCTCAAAACACTATGTGCCCTTTGTTCCCTACAAGACTTTCAGTGTTGGGAAAAAGAACTTGGCAGAGAATTTCAAATAATCACTCTCCAACTATCAGCCACAGAATTTAAACCTGAGAGAAAATATAGGAATAGAAAATCCTCTCAATTCAGCTACAAAATTATGTGAATGGTCCTAAGAAAATATCCACAAAATAAAAGCTTTATATAGAATGGTATCTACTGCTGTGGTGTTTTTTAAAACATATTTTTATTGATTTCAGAAAGTAAAGAAGAGAGAGAAACACCAATGATGAGAATCATTGATCAGCTACCTCCTGCACACCTCCCGCTGGGGGTGGAGCCCACAACTTGGGCATGTGCCCTTGACAGGAATCGAACCTGGGACCCTTCAGTCCACAGGCTGATGTTCTGTCACTGAGCCAAACTGGCTACAGCTTTCAGTGATATTTATAATAGAGGAAAAATGTAAGAAATCTAAATGCTTAAAATAGAGGCAATTAACTCAGTGATAATCAGGGGAATATTATAGGGCCATTTAAAAAGAGTATAAAGACAACATAACAAGGGTCACAAACTTTCTCTTAACCAGCTAGTAAATACTTTAGGCTTATAGGCCATATGGTCTGTGTCTCACCTACTTGACACTCCATGTAGCACAAAAGAAGTCATAGACAATATGTGATCACATTCTAATACAACTTTTCCTATAAAGACAGGAGGTTGGCCTGGGGGCATAGTTTTCTGACTGCTATTTAAAATAATGATTTGACAGATTTTAAAAAATCAATGTAAAATATTGAATCTCTATATTTTTACAATTATGTTTTTAAATGTACATAAATATAGATTGGAATTTGCAAAAGTAAATAGCAGCCTCCACGCAGTAAACAAGCACAAAAGGGTCTAGGAAAACAATAGGGTCCCTGGAACTTCTTGGAAAGCTCAGATGGCTATGAGACCTTACCATAAGCTGGTACATGGGCAGAAGAAGAAGAGGATATGTGACCATGATATGCCCCTTGCCCATGTATGTGATGATTCCAATCACTTTTGTATCCCCCCACAGTCATATGGGTCAAAACACAGCCAAATTCAGAAATCCCAATCCAGAGTCAATTAAAATTAATAAGCTCTCCAAGCCAGGCACCATATTAGGTGCATCACCAACATAATCTCATTTCATTATTGTCAAGCAGCAGCCCCCATATCCTGATCAGCAGCCCACACCATGCACTGCACTAACACATTTTTAATGAATGTCTGCTGAGTGATTGCAGCATCTCAGCTGAGAGCAGGAGCAGGAAGTGGGAACATTAAGCAGCCACAACTGTCATTTGTGTTTAAAGTACTTGGAAGAGTTTCTCTAGCTGCATCATCATGCTTTTCGTGCTTGCCTACTCTCTTACCACAAGTGGCAGGTTCATCAGAGCCATCAAGACAATCTCTTTCTTGATCACAATACCAATGGTGAGGAATACAGGGTCCAGATGTGCAGTGGAACTCACTGCTGCTACACGAGTGACTGGCTGTAGGAGAAGAGAAAGAAGATAAAACCCATGAGCAAAACACCAGCTTCTTCTCATCAATCTTAACAACCTGCCTATATGTCTCAACTGAATAAACAGTTACCAAGAAAAGAGACTGAGGCCTAGGAAATGGGATTTTGTATATGCACTTTCCGTGGGGATGGAGGGTAAGGGGGAGAGAAGGCAAACATACTGCCCAATGTTCTGGAATATTTTTCCTGGATTCCATAAATCCCCAAATAAATTATATTTGTTAGAAATACCAAATAACTATCCCTTTGATACATGAAATCACAAATTATGTAAGAAAAGATTTGTTTCTATGTTTTCTGTGGTAATATAAAGTTAAATTCTATTGAAATAATAATTAAAAGCAAAAACAGCAATATGACCATACCTGAGCTCACCCATACACAACCTTGAGCCATGTTAGACCATCATTCTAGAGAGTTAGCTAAGTTCTGCTCTTATTCATCTTGGTATGTGGGGCTTTTATCTGAGTAAAATGATTCTACCTATGTTTGAATGTCTGTTCTTTTCTCAACTAACTGTAGATAGCTCTGGTCAAATGTATTTTCTAGATTGTTATGTGGATATAAACCAGAATCAAGTCTTATCATTCTTCTGATCTACAAGCTTCCTTGCTTTGGCCCATTATCCTATCTAATAAAAGAGTAATATGCAAATTAACCATCACTCCATCACAAAGATGGTGGTGGACATGGAGCTGGAGCAAGCAGGAGGCTTGAGTTGCCCTAGCGATGGAGGAAGCCAAGCTTCCCGCCTGCCCTAGCTGGCCCGAGCTCCGCTCAAGGCTACAAAGTTTCAATTATAGAAGATAAATAAATCCCAGATACCTGCTTTCAGCCTGCTGCGTGGCCAGCCTGAAAACAACCCTCAGCCCCTCACCCAGGCTGGCCAGGCACCCCAGCGGGACCCCCCCTACACCCTGAAGGGGCTGTGGCCAGCCTGCAAACGGCCCTCAGCCCCTCACCCAGGCTGGCGAGGCATCCCAGTAGGGACCCCCACCCTGAAGTAAGTGTGGCCAGCCTGAAAACAGCCCTCAGCCCCTCACCCAGGCTGGTCACATGGGGTAAGGGTCCCCACTAGGGGGCTTGAACAGCCTGCAAACAGCCATCAGCCCCTCACCCAGGCTGGCCAGGCACCCCAGCGGGACCCCCAGCCTGATCCTGGACACCTTTCAGGGCAAACCAGCCAGCTCTCACCCATGCACCAGGCCTCTATCCTATATAATAAAAGGGTAATATGCAAATTGACCCTAACACCAGAATGACTGGGAATGACTGGTCACTATGACACACACTGACCACCAGGGGGCAGACGCTCAATACAGGAGCTGCCCCTTGGTTGTCAGTACGCTCCCACAGGGGTAAGTGGTCATCCCCTGAGGGGTCGCAGACTGCAAGAGGGCACAGGCCAGGCTGAGTGCCCCCCACCCGGAGCGCACAAATTTTTGTGCACCGGGCCTCTAGTATCTTATAATGTGCCATGGGAAAAATACTGATAAGTAAGCAGAGGTCCCCAAAAAATCAGCAATAGCTCCAATCTGCATGTCCATATCTGATGGCTGCATCCTGAATTCTACTGCTTCTTGCTGCTGTTACTACAACTGACTCCTGCTCTTGAACTGTAGTCTGGCCTGATGACAATTACTGAATTCTTAACTCATGTATCTATTTACATTAATAGTCTCAAAATTATCAAGCTTAAGAAAGGGCTTTTAATTTGAGCTACAAATACAAGAAATTGTCTGATTGAACTAAATTACTAAATATGAAATAAAGGTTTCTGAAATTTAAACATATTTAAAATTAGAAAAATTATTTCAGTTACTAATGGTCATTATAATCATATTAAGCATAAATGTAAGGGCTTAATGTGTAAATTCTGCCTGGAGTTCCTACAGACAAAAGGCTTTCAACTCTGGGAGAAATGGCTTTGCATTTGTGGAAGGTTATGTAGCAGGGCAGGTCTCTGGAGGAAATATTTGGAGCTGGGCCTTCAGCCAGGGAACAGAGAGAAGGGGCTTCTTTGGCCCCTCCAATCACATCCAGAAGTAATTGCCTACTGCATCTACTTACAATGTCAATTAGAGATGACAAATTGAAATGAGCCCAAGCGCCCAGGCCATGTATCTTGTATTAGCTCAAGACATGCGTCCCCAGAACCACAGAAAGAGAAGCAGGCTTATATTACCGCAAAAAGTGGGGTTTTCGTCACTCATATCTCCACAGTCATTGTCTCCGTCACACAAGTAATGATGAGGAATACAAATATTTGTACTGTGACACTTTGTGAATCCAGGCTGACAAGTGCGATCGGCTTGAAAAAGACAACCAGATACACATTTGGAACATGTCCACCACACGTGTACCATAAAGAATGTCCATGTTAATGGATCTATTGCAGTATTCAAACCACAAGAAGGGAGACATTTTCAAAGCTATTCCAGAGGCATGATCTGTGATACTTATGTTACACCACAGATTCTAGTGAAAAAGAGATATTCCCAGCTGATACTGCAAGACGGAGAGGAGAGGCTTGCTTTGTAATCATTTCATTATTTAACTGCACCACCAAGAGTCCCAGTGCTTGGTTAAAGACATTATGGCATATCCACACAATGGAGTAATATGTAGCTATGAAAAGCTATATATTGATAAGAAATGATGGTTTGATTTCCAGAATAGATTGTTCTTAGTTCTTTGTGGGGCTTTTTTTAAAGAAAGCCCTAGTTTTCATATAGAAATTTCATCTCCCATGATCCAAGATTTCAGATCCCAAAGCACAATGAGTATTTAAGGTGAACTTACGGCAATTTTTCTCATCTGAAGTATCATTATCATGGCAGTTGTTTATGCCATTGCAGACAAACTGAAGAGGTATGCACCTTCTATTATTGCAAGTAAATTCTGTGGTGGCATTACACGCAATGAACAGGCACCCTTCCTCATCACTGTTGTCACCACAGTCATTGTAGTGATCACAGCGATAATGATATGGGACACATTTCCCATTGTCACAGGTGAAGGCTGTCGAATGGCAGGTGTGAAAAGCTAAGAAGAGGGGGAAAAAAACATTGAGAAAACCTCTTGATTAAAATATCATCCTAATTTCTCAACAGATACAATCAAATAGAACAGACACTTAGAGATTACCTTTCAAGGCAAAAACGACTGCATGTAAAGTGAGATAACACTTTTAATTAGTTTGATTAAGCAAAATATGATGTATGGTTTTAACAAATGAAGTATTTTAAGCAAATGGCAAAATCATTAAATTTCTCTATCATCTCAATTTAAAGGTTATTTCAATCACAAAAAAGCACGTAAATACAGTTTCTTTGGGAAAATAAAACTCTTAGCTCCTACAATGTACTATAAAAAGGTAACTAACCTCAAAACTTCCTAAGAAAGTGTTCTATGTCTTACTCACCCCACTCAGATGGAAGATGAATATTGGGAGTGATTTCCATATAATTATTGAGTTAATCATCCTTCTGCTATTTAAATTAATAAAATGATAATAGTCACCTATTGGAGCCCTTAGTTCCATGCTAAGTCATACTTAACATGCATCAAGCCTCATGCTGTGTTTTATCATATTGTTTCTCTTACATCACAAGAACCCTAGTAATAGCTCCATTTTACAGATGAGATATCTGAGGCTCAGAGAGGGTAAGCAATTTTCCCAAGGCTATTGAGATTGTGTAAATGGCATAGCCAGGGTTTTAATTCAGCACCTTTGCTTTTAATCACTACAAAGGGGCTTCCTAATTAAGCTATTCCATGGCACATATATCCGCTTATATGTGATTTAGCAGAAATGCAGTCTGGATTCTCAGAGTAAATGCTTTTTAGTTCTAACAGGATGCCTGAGGCACAAATTACAAACCTATTCACACACAGCAACAACCACTTGACATAAAGACAATGCTAGCTCCTAACAAAAGCTCCAATGGCCCAACTCACCACACACGCTTTCCAGCTCATCACTGCCATCACCACAGTCATTGCTGTTGTCACATTTCCACTGCTCTGTGATGCAGCGCCCATTGAGGCAGGTGAAATTGGAACCAACACACCGCGCACCATTGTCCACAATGCAGTGCTTATTGTTGTTGGCCAGATACCAGCGGCCCTCCTGTGGACACTGGCACTCGGCACCATTTGGACCTGAAGAAAGGCAGGCCCAGAAAAAGCAGATTTGTGTCACAAACATTCAGAGTTTCTCTTCCAGAAAAGCACTTAGCAACAGCTTCTATATTAAATGTGCTATAAGACAAGCCACGGAAACTGCTCCCATCAACTTTTCAATGATATTCTGAGTCATTTTTCTATCAAGAAGAGCAACCACCAGTTAATAAATGTGCCTAATTCACCCTCATCTTTAAAAAACTTCTTGTCTACACTGAAGCTATTGCAATGATTCTGCCTTCTCAGAAAATCTCAAAATATTGGTCTCCAAAGGCACATCTTCCTGTGAATTTGTTGTTCTCTATAAACCCCACTAGGAAGCACATCATACATATCACCAGAAATATTACAAACTATAGCTAGTACCTCCTAAGTGGAAGAATTAAATCCCAGACCCCCAACTTTACTTCTACCTCCTTTAAGCTTGAGTCAAAAATGCCTTCATAAGAGGGCTCCATATTAAATAGAAAAAAACAACAAACAAACAAACAAACAAAAACTGTCAGTCTTCCTATCAAAATACAAACCCCAAATCTATTTTTTGAATTACCCTGAAATCAAGAATTTGGATTTCGCTCTCCTTTTAGAGCTGAATATCCCTTCAGCTTTCCCTAATTTGTCACCAATATTATTACTCTCCTCGAGTCTATCTTCATGAGCAATGCCTTACCTGGTGCACAAACATGGCTGCAGCCCCCGTTAAACTGGTCGCAAGGATTGCTACACTGCTGTGGGTGATCCTTCACAACAACACGAACACTCATAAGCCGGAATGGAAAACTCGTGGTCATTGCAGTCTGGCCTGATCCATCATATTTATTAACTCGGTAAATTTTTCTTGTGGACCAGTCAGTCCAGTAAATATACTGGCCATTGATAGTCAAGCCAAAAGGACGCAAGATTGTGATGACAATGACCTCACGCTCCGTGCCCTTTAGAGTGCTGCGTTCAATCTTGCGCCTAAAACGAAGTTTAAAAAAAGAAAAAAAGTAAAAGAAAATGCTGGAATCCAGAAAGAGTTAGTTCCTAAATTGGCAGTGCAATGCCCGGGCCTAACCATTGCTTTATACCATTGACTCTCTTTCCAAGTAGAGCATATGCCACAGGCAATGTATCTTCTGATAATAGGAGGTCTTAATTTGCTTTATCAAACAATGGTCTGTATAAATAATTAATTTCCAAATATAATCTATAAGTAATCCCATAAAAAGGACCAGGCTAACATTAATGACAGGAGAATATTGTGAAGTAATATATGTAAAACATAGAACTTGGTGTTTAGCACTCAGTAGTCACTCAATAAAATGTTAATTACATTTCCCTTCCAACTCTCTAAATAAATTTTTTGATATGTCATTTACTGAGTATCTTGACGTTTTTACCAGGAATAATCCAAATTTAGACACAAAACATCACTATTTTGTTTCAAATGAGAAAAAATGAAGATCAGGTTGTCAAGTATGCAGTGTCTCAGGGCCAAAAACATAAGAAAACAGTCAAGAGAAATGAAGATTCCTGAGATGCAGATACCAGCCGTAATAAACAAAATCATCTCATCTCTTCAACTATTCCATTAGGATGATAGGAATGTGAGTAATTTCAGGAATACTTGGAGAAGTTACATATGAAATTAGAGTTGACAAAGTATCTAAGGAAAACATTATGAAAGAACCTATTTGAGAACATAACTGAAGTCAAGACTCTAGGAAAACAATTTTATAAGATACTAAACACTAAAGCCCAGAGAAAACTTCACATTAGTATGCATTTAAATGTCATGCATATTTTATTGTAATCACATGGGTCTAGTAGATTATAAATTGAGTGATTACATAATTCATCTAGTAATGCATCTTTAGATGCCTTTTAGTTCATAATTATTCAATCTCATAACATAGATCAATTTTCACAGATACATTCACCAATCTAGAATATAGTTCCTAAAACTGTGATTCTACATTTTGGCTATGTCTATCTGGCATTTTATATTTTCATTCCATTAAGCATTCCATTGTAAGTTGGAAGAAGAATCCACACCTAAATGAATAACTAAAGACACATACAAACTAGCATCTGCCCAGTAGAGAAGGTCTTCCTCATGGTCCACAGTGAGCCCACAGGGCCAGACCAGGCTGCTGTTCACAACGGGTTCCCGAAAGTTGCCTCCCACTGTGGCTCTCTCGATTTTGGCATTAGGGGCCCAGGAACTCCAGTAGATATACCTAGTCATCCAAAGGGAGTCATAATTAATTCATCACAAGGAACCTCATAATCTTTACTTGAAAAAGAATGTAAGCCATCTTCAACTGCAAGTTGACTTTAATAAGGGTAATGTAACCCTATACCATCCCCACCCACACAACTTGCCCAAAAGGGATGTCCTGAGTCAGAGCATTGGGAGTATGCTGCCAACATGTCTAGCGTCAGAATGAGCTCCTTCTCAGGTAGAGTCACTCATGCTCTTTCACCCTTGTTACCTAGTGTTACAAGCCCAAAAAATGTTGGCCCTCTATGAACATAAAACAATGCCAGGCCCCTCTCCCTTCAGAAGTAAGCAAACAGAAATATAATAAAGAAAATAATGGCATACCCTCCGCAAGGATCTAATACAACTGCTCTTGGTTTTGTAACGTGGGCTATCACAGCACGCTGAGACCCATCCTCAGCCATGGAGTTAATTGTCTGGTTGGTGTAGTCACTGTAATAAATTCTTCTGTTGATCCAGTCAAAAGCAATGCCATCAGTAGTCCCTATATCTGGAGATAAATCAACAAACACACATACATTAGAGTCTCAATATGTATTTTAGAATCACCGGGTCATCCATGTGTATTGTTCTCACTGTGTCCAAGGTAGGCTACACCTGGAGTGCTCTTACCTGAAACAACGACAGTGGGAGAACGGATCCCTGAATTAAGGTTTATATATGAAATCTGGCCATGGCTAGCTTCTAAATTTCGTGTAAAGTAAATTCTGTTATCGATGCTGTCATAGTCCAGGGCCATGACATGTCCTCCCACACTTATTGCTTGGAAAGGCAGGCTGTGATCTTCAGGATCCAAGTGTAAGCTTCCCAAGGAATTCTCCAAGGCAAAGATGAGGAAATTTTCTTTTGGAATGACACAGCTTTTCCCATCATGGTCCAGGGTTCCAAAAACACAGCTACAGTTTGGAGTGTGCAAGCCAGGCATAGCAAAGCAGAGATGGGGGCATCCACCATTATTTTCCAAGCAAGGGTTGTTGTTGACCTCTGTGGGTGACCGGGGTTGGACACTCTGGTCAAAGACGGTCACATCTCTTAGCCAATCGATATTGTCCCTTATCACTGCTGGCGGTTCTGTGTTCCCTGGTTCCTTGCTAGCTTGGAAGATTTTTTTTAAGTTTCTGTCTACCCATATGATAGAATTTCCAAAAACAGTGATGGCATAAGGAGTTGGGTAACGACTGCCATAGCGAATCACTTTCAATTCCTTTCCCTCAATATCGATCCTTGAAATTACATCTAAAGTATCATCGACCCAATAAACATAGCCGTTGCTATGGTCTACTGCTACGCCCCGTGGTGTGACAATGCCCTCTGATACAAGCACTGTCCGATTTGTACAGTCAAGAAAAGCACGTTCAATCTTCGGGTTTTGTCCATAGTCAGCCCAGAAGAGGTATCTGTTCTTGGGGTCTACAACAATATCCCTGGGCATATCCACTATGACTCTAAGGAGAACACGACGGTAGGTGGTATTGATCCGCAGAACTTCTATCAGTGATTCAGACTCAAAAGCATTTATGAAATAAAGATTTTCTGTTGGGAAAAAAAAAGAACATATTGATGAATGGAAAACCAAGAAGAAAAAAGAGGATGCCTCTTCAAATCCAAAACAAAAGTATGTAAGGTTGAAGTTTGGCTCAGTATATATTGTCTTTTCCAAGATAATAAATGTCTCAGTTTAGACTTAGAAAAATGATTATTACTCAGAATCTAAAGAGATTGTTTCTTCAGATATAAAGAGAATGTGCCTATCTTCAGCTTCTAAAGCACATTAGAATTCACAGCAAATGTCAGAACCCACTTTCTACTGTAAGATACATTTTTGCCCTGGCTGGATAGTTCAGTTGGTTAGAGCATTCATCCTGATATGCCAAGGTTGTGTGCTCAATCCCCAGTTAGGGCACGTACAAGAAGCCACCAATGAATGCATGAATAAGTTGCCCAACAAATCAAGATTTCTCTCTCTCATCAATACTTTTTTTAAAAAAGGTGTATTTCCAAGAATGTCCTTCCTTTCCTACCTGAATATTTAACACCTGAATCTTCAAAGACTCTAAATATACATCATCATAGTATACCTTCTACTTCAACATGATGAAAAGGAGTAAAGAGGGACAGTCATCAGGTTGTTGATCAATGCTATCAATGCTCCTTATGCTTAGCATTAACATGAGGTCTTGTCCTAGTCTTTCTAACTAGCATAGATATTTTCTTCTAAAGCCACCGAAACAAAAGTGCATTTGCCTTTGAGCATTACAGAACAATGTAAATACAAGGAGAAAAGGACCATGATGGCCCGGCTGGTGTTGCTTAGTGGTTGAGCATTCACCTATGAACCAGGAAGTCACGGTTTGATTCCCAGTCAGGGCACATGTCCTGGTTGCAGGCCTGATCTCCAGTGTGGGGTCTGCAGGAGGCAGCCAATCAATGATTCTCTCTCATCATTGATGTTTCTATCCCTCTCTGTCTCTCCCTTCCTCTCTCTGAAATCAATAATAAAAAATAAAAATTAAAAGACAGTATAATAGAAAGTGATCCCTAATGGATTCCATGTAGTTGAAAGTCTGTTAAACTATCTACCAAGGCACATCTACTTTGTTCCTATATCTGACTCAAACCTATTCTAGAAAAATCAGGCCAATATGCAGCTAATGATCTTACTCTTTTCATTTTCTCTCTCTAATTGGACTATAAATATATTCCAATCCACCAATCCAGGGTTGGCAAACTTTTTCTATAAAGGCTTGTTAATAGTAAATAATTCTGGCTTTGCAGAGTATATGGTCCTTTTACAAGCACTCAACTCTGCCACTGTGACATGAAAGCAGCCATAAACAATACATAAACGAATGGGCATAGCTATGTTCCAGTAAAACTGAACTTACAATAGGCAGTGTGCTGCATTTGGCCCATAGGCCACAGACTACTGACCCCTGCTTTAACTATACACGCAGTAATAATATAGAAAATTCATAATCAAGAGTGAGATTTAGGAACCCAATTAAAGCCTTATCTAACCATACTACCATATTTACTATTTGCAATAGACTCTTATTATAGTACCTGTGACTTTTATTATAATATATTTTAATATTTCTATGTGATGTCTACTTACCAAGATGGATAACACTCAGTGATACCTATTTTTATAGAATGGCATTATACTCTAAAAATTATAACACATTTAACATATTTTATTCTCAGTGTACCATTAAAAATTAGTAGTATTTCCAAGTTAAGCTCATGAAACAGAGCAATTAAGTTAATGTAATATTGGGTCAGGCATTTCAATAGAACTACAATAAAGAAAGTACCCAATCAAGAGGATTTTATAAATTGACAAGAAGAAGCAGTTAATAATTTGGCAATTAAAATTTCTCAGATATAAAATAAATACTTGCCATTTCATAATTTAGATTATATTTTAATATCAGAAAAACTGTACATGTATAATGTTAGGCTAAACTTTCTAGAATAAAATAAGGTGATAGAGATACAAATATAAAAATGTTTTTCAATAAAATCAGTATACAGCTTACCTACCTGCTACCCAGTCCACTGCAATACCCCGCACTCCATTTTCTCCTATCCCTTGTGTAATGATGTTTGTAAAACTAGACCCATTGGGTTTGATTCTACGGATTGCATTATTAGATTTCTCAGAGATGCTAAAATCACACCAATAAATAAAGCCAGAAGATACATCAACATCCACATGCAGTGCATTTCGTCCTGGAATGTTTAAGAAAAGATCATTAAACAAGGCCTTAGCTGAAAGTAGAACTTTTAAATGTCTGTCCTTCCCCTCAAACCCTCATTCCCAATCCCCTGCTCTATCCCCCCATTACAAAATAAACTATTTGATTCCCAGTGGCAATAAGCAAACCTACCATCCAGATGTTGGTTTCTCACATTTCTCACAATAAGGAGCACTGGCTCCTGGGGGAAATGGCTGATTAAAGTTTTGGAATGGGAAGGTATGAGGTGAACCTGGAACATCTTAAGAAGCAAGGAAGCACTCAGATACTAATGGCACCATGTCAAAAGAACACAGGCAGGCTGCCCAGCCGGTGTGCTCAATGCTTGAGCATCAACCTACGAACCAGAAGGTCACGGGTTGCAGGATCTATCCCCACTGAGGGGCGTGCAGGAGGCAGCCAATCAATGATTCTCTCTCATCATTGATGTTTCTATCCCTCTCTCCCTCTCCCTTCCTCTCTCTGATATCAATAAAAAAATCTTAAAGAAAAAAAAAAGATAGAAAAAGAATACAGGCAGCCACTTTAAGAGGTTCTCCCTGGCCAACATGGATCAACTGGAGCCGCAGAAGAGTAATTATGTCAACTATAACACATTTAAAAAATAAAAGTTTGAGTCACGGTGATAATAAATTTTTTTGGATTCTAACGGGGTAAATAGTACAGTTCTCCTAGAATATTATCTTATAAATGTAGAAGAAATGCTAGAATAAGAAAATCACCATTTTGCAATCCTAATTAAATAATTATTTAAAACAAGAATCATCAATGGCTG